CTTAGGTGCTTGTTAAGTATGTGTGCGTGTGCCTACGCATACGGGGTATTACAACAAATATAGGACAGTGTGTTAATAGCAGCCAAGTGTTTCACTCGCGTATCCCTCGTATCTAACAGTGGCGACGAAATACGAACCTACCCCGTTTAGTAAAAATTAATAAAAAATGTCCGGTGCAATGTTCGGATTATTATCCAGTTTTGACCACAATCTGCAGTCATGGGAAACGTACAAATGCAGAATTTCTCAGTGGTTCGTAGCTAACGACATTAGCAGAACAAGTGATCCTGCAGGGATAAAAAGACGAGCGATATTGCTGAGCGCACTCACGGACGCCACGTACAAATTAGCGGCGGACCTGGCGGTGCCGAAGACGTTGACCGATGTTCCATTTGAAGACATACTTCGGCTATTGGACGACCATTTTACTCCTAAGCGTTGTGGTTTCGGCGAACGTTATAAATTTTACGTGGCGGTACAACAAGAAGACGAGACCTACCCTCAATGGGCGGCCAGGTTGCGCGGTCTGACTGGGCATTGTGGGTTTGCCAACGTGGAGGAGGCTCTCAGAGACCGATTCGTTATGGGGATGTTACCCGGAACTGAACGAGAAAAGTTATTTGCGCAGGATGTAACGGCCTTATCGCTGGCTAGGGCGGTTGAAATGGCAGAAAGTGTGCGCAGCGCGCGAGTTGGAGCAACCACTGCAGCAGTACAGGTCGCAACACACGATCAGCTGTTCAAGATGACGCAATCGACGGCGGCAGGCCGGTCGGGGGCGCTTCGGCTGAAGGATGGCGGCAATAAAGTGCAGTGTCAAGTGTGCGGTTATCATAATCATGATACGTCTCAGTGTAGGTTCGCTAAATTAAAGTGCAAAAAGTGCAATGTCACAGGGCACCTACGTAGGATGTGCAAAAAAATTAATTACTTAGAGGCAAATGTGGTGGATGACGGCGATGACGATGGTGAATGTTTTAATATTAGGTCTGTTAAAGGGGAAGCCATGACAGAGACGGTGACGATTTCGGGGGTCGAATTAAAATTCGAAATAGATAGCGGGTCGGCCGTTACTGCGATTTCTGAACAGACATACAGAAAATATTTTAACAATGTACCATTGTCTAAAACAAAAAAACGATTATTTTCATATACGGGTAATAGTATTATTTGTATTGGAGTAGCACAATTGCAGGTCAGTTATGCGAATGAATCACATTTACTATATGTTTGCGTCATACGAGACGGAGGGCCGCCAATTCTCGGTCGCGATTTCATTTCTAAGTTTAAGTTAGAATTATTGCCGATACAATATTGTAAACAAGTAGATGAAAACAATATAATTAGCGCGTTGCAATCTCGTTATCCTATGGTTTTTTCCGATAAATTAGGTTTGTTTAACAAATTTAAAGTTAAATTACATTTAAAGGAAGATGCAAAACCGGTTTTTATTAGAGCGCGACCATTAGCTTTCGCTTTAAAAGACAAAGTAGATAAGGAAATAGATCGTTTGGTGGCGGCCGGAGTATTAAAACAAGTTGATCACGCGCGGTATGCGTCACCAATCGTACCGGTATTAAAGCGGAATGGTTCCGTACGTATTTGTGCAGATTATTCGACGGGCGTAAACAAACAGTTAGTTGTTGACCAGTACCCTTTGCCGACGATAACTGAACTTTTTACTAGGTTGTATGGTGGACAACAGTTTAGTAAACTGGATTTATCTAGTGCGTACAATCAACTCGTGTTAGATGAGGAATCACAGGAATTAACTTGTATAAATACTCACAGGGGAGTTTACAAGCATACCCGCCTTTGCTTTGGCTTGGCCAGTTCACCGGCTATTTTTCAACGTGCTATCGAATGCGTGCTGGCTGGCGTGCCCGGCACGTTGTGCCTGTTAGACGATATTTTAATAACGGGGAAAAATAAAACTGAACATTTGCTACGATTACATCAAGTACTGCAGAGATTACAAGACGCGGGTTTGACCCTTCAAAGGGAAAAGTGTGAATTTTTCAAGGACGAGATTAATTACTTAGGGTATGTAATCAATAAAGATGGCCTTCATAAGTCGCCAGAGAAAATTAGGGCGATGACTGATGCGCCGGTTCCGACTAATGTTAATCAGTTGCAATTTTTTA